ACCCCCCCCCCCCGGAGAACGTCTTCGTGAGCCTCTCATGATTTCAGGATAGTTGAAACCCTCTTGAACATTTAGAAAGAGTGCACATGAAATTCTAATCACGAAAGGTGTTCCCCGAGGGGATACATACCTAGAGTTTGTTTTGTGAAGCACGTCAATTCTCTCCTGGGGAGCGTCTTCGTGGGCCTCTTATGGTTTCAGGATAGTTCAAATCCTATGATGCTCCGATTCAATGCTCACCGATGATCTGATCCATGGGGCAAGTTTGTTTTCCTAAGAATCTTTTTGAACATTTCCAGAGCATATGTTTGAACAATTAGAGTGCATATGAACATATATTTACGATTTACGAAAGGTCGCCTCCGAGGGGATAAATCACCATGTCGAACATTGCATTTTGTTCCTGCCTCTCGCGTTCTCTTCTTTTCCCGCTGTCCTACCTTTCGTGTCTCCCTCCTCTCAAGTGGGTCAGTTGGAGGCTGTGGCATCTCCGGCTCCAGATAGGTTGACCTAGACCTGGACCTTAGTAGGTCTCAAGACAGCCTTCGGTGGTTGAAAGTCTCTGCTCACCTCACCTCAGGAGCACTTCAGCCTCGTCTTGAGCTCGGCTCGCAGCACCGCGGTGAGCTATTTGAACCGCCCGGGGATCGTAGAGCTTCGGAAGCAGGACGAACGTCCCTCGCGCTGAGCAGGGGTTGGACGGGAGGACATCAAGCGAAGGAGCCTGTTTGGGGAGCTCTTCGGCAATCTGGGAACATCTATGGATGTCCTGGATATGATGCTGGTAGGGGTGGGAAGCCAGGCCAGGCCACAGTGTATGTTCTCAATGCACGGAGGTTTTGGGTACGTTATGGCCTGATCTGGACAAATCTAGTGCTAGATTGATTACTGCAAACAGCAGGCGGGGGGCAATCACAATGACTCCTCTGGCAGTCATAGACACTTTCTGGTTTCCAAAAGCGACGTTGAGAAGCGCCTGCTGAGGCTTCTACGTGACCATCTCCATGCAGAGCTTCAAGCGTGGTATGCCTTTGTTACCCGCCTTTCCCAGCGAAGCCGCTGTGACTGAAATTGATGCTGGAGAGCCCTATGGGCTTCGGCGCTGGTTGCGCTATGAGCCGAATTCGCAGAAGTTCCACTTGTCCTCCTATTTGCAGGTCTTCCTGGCCCGCTTGGGATATCAGGTTGACACCTATGATCCTTGGATTGCGTCAAATATAGGGCACCTCAGAGAGAGTGACGCCAGAACATCACACATCTCACACGAGCAACGCAGCAGGCACAGAGCGAAGACAGCTGATGTTGGCGGTCTGCTAATACATGAAGAAGCCACAACCCACAAGTCAGTTGGGTTCTTGGGTTCAAACGTCACCACCCACAACCCATGAAGTCACCTGGGTTGTGACCTGCTAGTCTGCGCAGACACCGTGAAGAACACGACGAGACAACGTTTGTCGAACACGACCTGAAAAACACAACGTTCTGAAGAAGGCCTTCAGGTCACGGGGCCACACGAAGGCTCCAAAGCTCTGAGGAAAGTCACCCGGGATTGCCAACACACTGCATTGATCACTTCTGGAAAGCCAATTTTTCTGCAAGGCGTTCGCAGTTTGGCGTGCCGTCGAGAATCTGTTTCTTTCCAGGATTCTGACGCTTGATGGCAAAGGCTACTGAGAAAACCCGAGTTCTGCGGCTGAGGAAAGTTTGGATGGCCAGACTTTGGTGCCCTACCAATGCGTGGTGCGCCGTGACCAGTGGGAACTTCTTCGCGAGCGCTTTCTGTCGGCCTACGCGCTGCAAAAGACCGCCTATCGCCGGGCCAATGGCGGTTCCGGGGCACCAGGCACGACCCGTGACCCGTGACCCGTGGCCTCTTCTCGCCCTGAAAAGAAGAGAATGAGAGGTCGATGGGAAAGATGTGTTTTTTTTCCACTATACTTTTGGATGCTTATGCTTATGCTCATCAGGGAGGAGACGAAAGCCTGAACAATCAGGGGAGTTTGGTTCGTTAAAGGGTTGGTTGCGAAAGCCTCTTCAAGCGCCGTGCAGTGACCGTGAATTGCAAGAAGTTGTCAGGAATGCACGAGGAAGTTGTGCCGAAGTTCGTGGTGCTGCCGAGGGATGAGCATCTCCAGGAGCGTTTGGAGAAGGCAATGGAGCCGCGGTTGGTGGTACGAAAGACCTTCTTCGACTTGGAGGTGCCGTTGTCGCCGGCCGATGGGATGGACGGGTGTCAGCTGTTCACTTCTGTCGTTGGAGACGTGGAGAACAAAGATCTGAACGGGGGCCAATTGAGAGGTGGACGCGGAATCGCCTCATCAAAACCTGAGAAACCCTGTAGGCCTGAGGGTTTCTCATCATCTCTTTTCATTCGAGAACATCACACCATGCCGAGAGAACAGAACGCCAAGATTCCTGCTCCTCTTCTTTTGGAACTGACTTGAGAACCCCAAAAGGATCAACCTAAGATCAAGGTCAAAGAAGGACCTTGGCTGCCAGTGGCAGGGTGGAATCCCACCAGTAAATCCGCGAGTCCTCCAGGACCCCTCTGAGGAGGAGGAAGAACCACAAGCCCCCTCGCGCCGGCCCTCGCGCCGGCCCAAGACCACTGCGCTTGGGCGACCAGTCCTGGTGGTATGAGGCAGTTGAAGTTGAGGTGGCCTCGGCCAAGCCATCGTGGGATTTACAGCGGCGCTTCTGTAAAGTGCTTGTAGAGATGCAGCTGCCGCTGATTTGGCGCCTGTGACATGCAAGGTTCGGTGGCAGGCCCCTGGTTTATATAATTCGATGATTTGATGATTTCCTGCCGACTATGCACTACGCGCTCGTGTATATGCTATAGCCGACCGGGTGATTCTACAGGTAGATCGGTAGGACAATTATTGCATCAGGCTGTAAAGATGCCAGGTTGCTTGGCAAAGGGCGGATGCACCTTTTGGTGCTGTAGCCAAGTGCACTAGGTGTTTTCCGCTATGCCCTGATCAGATCCCATCCGCGCATTGTATAGTTGCATTGGTGTGCGACGGATGAAGCCAGCTCTGAAAATCCACTGCGATCTGTAGACATGTTTCTCCTGCGTTTCTGCTTCTTCTCATGATGGGTCGTTATTTTATTATGGCTGCACTGGCTGCACCATGTCATTGTCAATAATATCCCACGCCTCCACATACTCCATCCTCTTAGTTGGGCCAAAGCCTTCTTGCTCAGGACTTGTCTCAGAATTCCCTCACACATCTAAACCTGGAACTCTTCCAGCCTATGGTGTCGTTGGAGCACCTTGGCCATTTAATGCAGCGGCCAGCGTCCGCGTGTACTCAACTTTGACAGGAATTCCATGTTTCCCACCAAGCTGGTTAAGGGTGCAGCACCCAATCATTGGATGAGTAAACTCTTCTCAGGTCTTGTGACAGGCCTGATCTTTCTCGGGGAACGCCGCACCCAGATCCCTGCTTTGGTTGGCTTTCTTCGGCGCTCGGCGCGGTTTGGCTTCGGCGCTCGGCGCGTCTCAGGTCCTTGGACTTGTCCCAGAACCACCTGGAGTGCCTCGAGGGGATCTTCCCACTTGAGCACCTCTTGGAGTTGAATCTCTCCCACAACAACCTCACCGCGTCTTGCATGCTGGGTATTTTTCAGAGTCTTGGACGGCCGTATGGGGCCATTGGTTGCATGAGTGGCTGATATAGCATGCTCACGCATCAAGATGAGGCCATTAATCTGAGGCTCTTGGATGTCTGGAAATGAACATGAATTCCACATGATGGGCAGACAGCCTAAGGAACTTGAGCACCTTGGAAAGTCTGGATCTCTCCTTCAATCACCTCAAGTCCCTCGAGTCCGGCCTGTCCGGAGCTCAGGATGCGAAGATAGGATCAGGGCACTGTGCCCATCCAGCGGGTGGACTCGGACAGGGCGAAAGGAACGGAGAGCAGGACTGTGGGTGGATGCAACTCGATCATGAGACACACAGGTCTCGCGCAACGAGTTAGTCTGCAGAGCTCCGAAGCGAGCGTGCGGCTCCGTGCCACTGAAACCGCACGCGAGCTGCGCCCGTGCTGGGCGCGAGCGGCGGAAAGCGTCCCGGCGCTCGATCCGAGGTTTCAAGGGCTGGCTGGGTTGGAAGTGCTGAGTGTGAGCCACACGGGGCTCACAGATCTCTCGTGCAACGTGTCGGAGAGGACCTCTGCCGGGGGCCCGGGCGGTTTGCGAAAACGGTCTGAGAGGTGTCACCACACCGATCGAGTCTTGGAGCCACACCACAAGGGGTTCGAGTGGTTGCAGACACAGCTGCCAATGCTCTTTTGCACTTTTAAAGAGATGGAGGATGCCCCCCCCCTCTCTCTCTCTCTCTCTCGTGGCTCTTGAACCTGAGGTTGGGGCAACGGCAGAAGGCCACCGGCTTCTTGATGACGGTGCTGCCGGTGCAGAAGGCCGTTGTCAGCCAGAAAAAATCCGCAGCAACGAACACATGTTTGATCAAGTGACGTGGTCTTTCAAAGGCGTTCTCTCTTTTTCCACGGTGGATGCCTTGCACAGGCTTTGTGCAGTTCATTTTTGGAATTGGGGCTTGTCCAACATGCCACTCCCCTTTGGCCCCACTGCCGCAAGTGCGCAGGAGCAGAAGGGGGATCGCATGGGATTTTTGCACAGCTTCCCTCACTTCTGGTGCTCAACATGTGATGCGCCCAGTGACCAGGGGGTGCAGATCGTAGACGGTCAGAGAATTAGGACACCCCTTGGCGCAGGCGCAGGTGACAGATTTCCTTCCAAGCCTCTAACCCGAACTGTAAGTCAATTGGCTTGATCGGTTATGTAAATAGATAGATGATAGCACACACATATAATATATATATATACACAGTATATGATGTAACTTTATACTTTTTCAGAATGGTCTTTCAATTACCTCCTCGATCGACATGCCCCAAATCACACGTTTCTCACCACCTCCCATTTCCACCGTGTCGCTGACTCAGCGAGGTCTGGGAACCACTTCGCTGAGCTGGAGCTGGACACCTTCCAAACGTGCCTGGGGCCGCCGGTCGCGCGCCGGGGCGACAGGACAATTGTTGAACCATTTGCTTGAAACCAGAAGGATCAAGGAACATGGCCTGCAATGCCTGCTACTGACTTTTCCACCAATTGGGCTTTTTTCTTTGTCTGTCAATCTCTGGCACCATTGGAGTGGTGGACACACAATCGCGAGGCCACTGGAACGCTTGGTTGTGGTTGGTTGTGGTTGGTTTGGACCGAGGTCCATTTCCTTGTCACGCACCCTGTCCATGCTTTCTTTTGGTTTTTGTTTTTTGGTTCTTTTGGAAGCCTGAAAACCATTTGATAGGCTTGAACAAGTTGTACCTAACCGCCAGCAGGGAGCACAGTCATGAGACATTTTGCGCTTTTGCTCATCCATGTTGGTACAGTTCGCGCATGTCACTGCATGGAGAACGGATCCACTACGGAAGCAGAGGTGTTTCTCAGGTTCACCACCAGCGTAGCTATGCACAATGTCCTTTCACTCGGGGGTTTCTGGGGTGGTTCGACCTACTAAACCCTAGATTCCCACACGATTAGCTTGGATGTGCATGCTGATCGAACAGCTCATCTGGAATCTTTCAGACATATATCCCGAGCACTCTTGTCGACAATCGCCCAGGGAAGACCACTCCTTTCGGATGGTAAACCTAGTAAACCTAACGTCCAGGTCTATAAACCCCTCTTTCCTCAGGTCTTCTCGCGCTTCGGACCCGGTCGATGATCCCAAGGCTTGGGAACTTGTATACTCTGGCCGGGGCCTCAGTGTGTTGGATATCGAAGTGTGAAGTTTGGCGTTTGTCTGGGCACATACATGAGTAATCTCGGGGTGTTTATAGACTTGCAAAGAACATTTCTCGCTGATGGGGGGCTAAGCCACCAAACCACCATTCTTGCAGCTGCGAGGAGGCCACACCGGAACACCTGAGGACCTCTCCGACACGGCCTTGGCGAACTTTAGCATGGAGCACTTTCAGGATGAACGGGTTGGACAGCCCGGGCGTTTTTGGAAGGCCCTTGGCAGGCTGCAGCTCTGGTGCTTGCAGATGTGGTGCCACCAAGGGGGGTTTCTTCTGGCGGTTCGCAAGAGTGGGGGCCGTCTGGCCACGCCAATGGCCTAACTCGGACCATGGCCTAACAATTTCAGAATTCCAGGACAGTTCCAACTTGAAGTTCCTTTTCCTCTCCGACAATCTCATTGAGGTTACTTGGCCCAGTTGGGTAACTGAGCAAGGATCAGACATGCTCACTCGTGAACTGAAAGTTGTCATTTGCGTCAGAATCAGGTGGACAGAGTTCCAGGGTAGAGGGCACAAACCCACAGACAACCCTAGATGTTTGCTTAGTGTAAACCATCACTTGGGAGTTTGGTACCATCTACCTCTTGAAACACTGCTTTAGCCAACCAACTCAAAGGGTGTTTCCAACCTCGCACCGTGGCCTGTTTCCTCAGGTGCTGCCAAAGCTGAGGGGTTGGAACTTGAAGGTCTTGGACTTGGCGCGGAACCGCTTGAGCAACGTCAGCGGTTTGGATGGTGCTGTGATTGAAGAGCTGCACCTGGAGGAGATGGTGAGACTGACAGATGATGAGACTTGCGAGTTGCTGAGCCATTGATATCAGATGAGACACTCGGTCTCTCAGACTGTGAGCCTCTCAGACTTCCCATTTGTTCGACTGAGTTGCTCTCTGTGAGACTCCAACCGGTCCTGGGGAATGGACGTGTGATGTGCGTGGCCCAGCCGCCGCCCCAGGATGCGACCCTTTGTGTTCCACCGATCTTCCAGCCCGCTCTGCGCCAGGAGAATGAGATCCTCTCGGTGGACATGCATGTCTTTTCAGCGTCCCTGCGCTCGTTAAACCTGGTGCCTCGGTCGATCCAAGCGAATCGGTGACAAGCTGGGACGATTAGAGCTGGGGAGCAGGGGCAGGAGTTCAACGATCCCTTCTCTGAAGACTTCTTCTCCTTCTTCCTCCTCCTCCTCCTCCTCCCACCACACAGATCACAGAAGATTGGCGATCATCGACCCCCGGCGCCGCTGTGCCCTCCTTCCGCAGCGCGACGCTCTTGACCGCCCGTTCCGCCCGTTCCGCCCTTCGGCGCCGTTGCTGAAGCCGCTCCGCCGCCCGAGGCGCGGAACCGGCTGAGAAGCCTGGAGATGTCGGGAGAGTTCTGGACGCAACTGGAACAACTGGACCTCTCCGAGAATCAGCTCGTAGAGATCCAGGTCCCATTCTCTCGGCGAGATTGGGGAGATTGGGGCGCGAGCGAGCTTTGGGGCGAGGTTGGGGAGGTTGGGGAGGTGAAATGGATGAAGGACTGAAGTTTCAGCAGTTCGATCACGCATGGGTTTTATGATTGGTAGTCGCTGCAACTGGATTTGAAAGCCACCATTTTGATCGGACCAACTGATTCTACCCGCATCCTGGCATAACCCCTTTCCTCTGTTTCTCTTCTCATCTTGAGCCTTGGCAGCCCTTCGTCAGGAGGAAGACCTCCAATTTTTGAGAAACTCAAGTCTTCCCGCTTCGAAGGATGGCTTCTTCAAGCACCTCACCGAGCTGAAGATCTTGAGATTGTCCTGGAACCGGCTTCCTGGACATGCCTTGGTTCTCCCAACCCCTTCGGGTCGTCACCCCCGGAGCCGAAAGGATCCTCGGAGGTCCCTGGGGGATTGGGCCGACCAAGGGCCTCCAAACGTGGGAACGGACCGGCCGAGGCTTCGAACGTTGAGCTGGTCGATGGAGGACTTGCCCAACTTGCCACTTGGGAGCGAATTGGGATTCGCGGCCGGTCCAGAGTAGTTCTCTTCACAAGGTTTGGTGCTTTGTAGATTTGTACTATGCCCACCGTTGGTGAAACTCTGCCACTGTTCTTGGGAATCACCCTTACTATCAGGGAACAGAATATGCAGATGCCAGTGCAAGAATGCAGAACGCCTCTTGATAGGCTTGAATGGTTTGGGAATTTATGCAGGTCATTCAGGTGTGATTCATACGGTGCCGGAGCAAATGCTGGACATTTGTGGAGAGACGCATGTTGTATATAAAAAGGGCTAGGAGAGAAAGAGGGTCAGCATTATATATGTAATTCAGCGAGCAGAAGTGCAGCCTGCCTGAGGGTGCGGCAATGTATCCTGAAAATGCCGGGTTTAGGTTGCCCAGGAAGACCTATGGTTGTGAAGCCACCATGGTAAAGGTGGATTCAGCCGCTGCTCACCCAATGAGCTGCGAGATGCTCTCCCGGTTGCGCCTTCCTGTGCCCCAGCTGCAACAGCGAGCCGTCCAGGCACGTTTTGGAGCTCGCAGGGAATCAATTTGACGCCATCCCTTGCAGTGCAAGGAGCCCGGAGGCTTGCCCAGCTTGGGGGAAAAGCAGAGCGACCTCTTGCCACATGGGTTTTGTCGCCGAAGCAAATGAATTGGGGGTGAATGAACACCCGACTTGGACTTCTTGTTTTGTAAGACGTGACTTCACTAGTCGGTCCGCAGATCGATATCGATGCGCCTGCGACTCGGCTACAGGTGCTGAACTTGAGATGGAATCAAGTGGTTTACGTCGAGGAGGACGGTTTACGCGGTGAGGGTTACGATCGAGATCGGAGCTCTTGAGGTTCCAATGGTTCACAGGAGTTTGAGCACAGAAAGTGAGGGAAAGACAGCAAAGGGACGTAAAGGATCGTAAAGGGACGTAAAGAGGAAAGAACTCGTTCCTGTGCCTAGTGTTGGATGCATCGCGCAGCTGATTTTTCTGAAAGGCAACCCATCCTCTTCGGATAGTCTTGGGTCATGAGACCAGGCATTGTCCCCCATACGTTCGCCCCCAAATCACACACCCAAATCACATTCATCTACCAGACCTTCCTTCTGCACCCATGTCGAGCTTCGTGGCTTTCCTCTCTGGCGCCGACCAGTATGGACGATGGGTCCCTGACGAGGAGGTCACGGCCAGCGCATACCTGGGCGGTTCGACGGTGGACTTCAGCCAGGCTTTGTTTGAGCACCCGGTGATCACCATCAGGAGCACCGCTTTTTGGGGCAGCGTCACATTGATTGTACCACCCAACGTGAAGGTGGAACAGGACGGTGCGGCCATTTTGGGCGGCTTCGGCGATGTGGGAGGTGTTTGGCAAAACACACTGAATGACCTTCCGCAGAATCTCCAGAATCCTCCAGCCGTGACCATCCGCGTGGTCGGCACCGCCCTGATGGGCACAGTGAAGGCGGTGGTGAATCCGCGAGCGGCTCCTGCACAACTGCTGAGCCATGATGAGGTTGTACGGATCTTGCGAGAGGTGCCAGCAGAGCCCTCCACTACCGTTCAGGACTTCATGGGACAAGCACTACATGCACATGCACAAGCCCAAGCACAAGCCCAGCAAGCGCGACAGGCTTCAGAGCAAGCCATGGCACAGGCACTTGCACACGCTATGGGGGCTGCAGCTGGCGCAAATGCTGGCCTTCCTGTGTCGGGTGCACCAGGAGGCGTGCCCATGGCGCCTGTACCCGCTCCAATGGGTGCTGTACCCGGGCCAGACCCAAGGCAAGCATTGCTTCAAGGCCTTGTGACGGCACAGGCGCAGAGTGGTGACCCAAGAGCAGCACTGCTACAGCAAGTGCTGAATGCACAGACGGCAACGCAAGCGCAAGCTCAACCAGTTCCACAGCAAGTAGCGCCAGCACAGGGGCATCCTGTTTCTGCAGGAGGAAACTTGCAAGGTATGGATTGAGCCTTCAGCGTGTGCTGACAGGCATGTTTGGTTTCACAAACTGTACTCCCAGTGCCGTGTTGCCAGAGTTGGCCAAGTGTGTAAACGCAACAGCCAGCAGTAGCGGCGCCTGCCGCCTGTGGGTTTGCATGTCCGTTTGTTTGCCATGCAATCTCAGGGAGCAGGATGCTTGTTGAGAAGGAGTTGCCTTTAGGTGTTCATTATTCATTTGCGGCAGTGTATAGGTGGGACTTGTCCATGTCGAACAGAGACAAATCTCCGACTGCCAACGAGAACTGGAGAAAAGGAAGCGACGCGCAGCCAAGAACTGGGTCCTTGCTTCGCGGCTGAGCACCTCCTCCGCTTCGCGGTAACCAAGCATTGTAAGGCCCATGTCACCCTCTTTGTCGGTTCGCGCAGGAGCTACCCTGTTTGCAGCGGACCCGTATGTTGGACTTATCTCACAACAAGCTTCGTGTTGTGAAGCGCCCTTGGCAAGACTTGATGGGGCAAGCGACAGACGTGTGCGTGCGAAAAAACCCAAGGATCCCGGTGCCTTTGGTTCAGGCAGCTCAGGTCATTTCGCAAAGATTCACGTCTCTTAAGCGGTGGGATGGGATGATGGTCATCATGACCACGCAGTGCCTGTTGTGCACAATTGCCCTGCACACCACTCCTGCATATGTTGAATAAGTAAATCAATGTTAAATAACATTTGCACTACCAGTGAGCTGAAGAAGCAAAGTTCACTCATGAGACTGCGGGAATGCTTCATATATTTATAAAACTGTGTCGAGCTTTGGGCAGGTTTGGGTGCACAGTCTTCATTACATTTGGTACACTGTCCATTTTGGCTCAAGCCAAAAGTGGGACAGTGGAGTTTCTGTTCTGCTAATTTTTGCGGTGTGTGCTGTGGATGACTTCACAGCCTATCGTCGGTGTGCATGTCGCCATGTTCACGGCTGCTGAGGTGCTTTCGTCCGCCGCGTTCATCGAGTTCCGTCGCCAGGTCGATGCCCTTTTGGCCCGGGGGGACCGGGCAGGCGCGATGCGGCTTTGGAGCTCGGTGGTTCTCTTCGAGCACATGCCTCCGTCTTCACGCCCGGGGGACGGGCCAGCTGGTTTCCCCCCTATGCGGATCTCAGTGTGTCCTAAGAGTGCCTGCCCACGGTGCGATCAGGGGCGAGGGGGCTATGTTTTCCCGTGGGTCGGGATTTGGAGCCGGCGCGGGACGATCGTGCCATCCGGGTTCACTCCTCAGCAGGCCTGGGATAGGCATGCTCGGTTGGACGCCAACATGGACCTCCTCTTGTTGCAGCCCTACCGTACCCCGTACTCTGCCGAAAATTTTGTGCCCTCCTATCTGTGGGAGTTCCAGCAGAAGGTTCCTGGGGATTTTGACCTCTTGCCCCTGCAAACATTTCAATCTGAAGTTCTCTATTATATGCGACACTGGATCATGGGATCACCACATGGGTGGTGGTCCAACCCCTTGCGTGCCCCACTGCCAGATCTTGAGCATCTGCCGCGCCACCTGGAAGCTCTTCACCCGAAGATTCGTGCCCATCGAGCCCTTCGTGGATGGTTGGGGTCCTCAATCAACGGAGAGTCGGAGTTTCCTCCAGCGTGTTGCGGCTGTGCTTATCGGCAGTGCCTTGGTTGTATCAAAGGAGTGTGTTCCGCCTGTTTCCCAGTGCTCCAAATCTGTCCGGTCTGCCGCGAACTTTCGTCGTCTGATGACGATAGTGGGTAGTTCAGCGGGTGCGCAAGCCATGGTGTACCGTGCACAAGTCGCTGGAGCGGTGGACGCTCCGCCGGACGAACCGGCTTCGTCCTCTGGTTGGCGAGCCGAAGACAGCCTTGCTAGGGTGGCAGGGGCCCGTGCCATCACATGGCGCCGGGAACGGGGCTATGAGAAAGATGAGGACTTCGCCTTTGCCTTCTCTACCTGGGAGGAAGCTGTGGCCGTGGGAGGCCATTTCTTGGCGGACGCTTGGCTAGCAGTCCGGGTTGCCCAGCAGGATGAACTTCTCCCGGCGGCGGCGCGCTTGCTTGAGGGGGGTCCCCTGCTGCCGGATACACGTCCTCCACTGGTTCGCAAGCGGAAGGAAGTTCCACTTGAGGCGGGGGTACGCCTTCATGAGCGGGTGCAGGATCAGCCCGAGTCCATACAGCGCCAAGTGTTGGCCCTGCAGAAGGTGTTCCTGACCGTGGGGGCGTTGAAGCCGGTAGGCCTATTGACTGAGGCCCTGAAGCGGGATTGGCAGGCCTCCGTCCTTCGCTTGGCCCAGACCAAAGTGGCGGAGTCTGAGTCGGTGACGATTCAGAATGCTCTCCGCACCTATGGGGAGCTCCACGCCTTTTTGCTCCACCGCGGGAGGTCGTTCCCTCCGGACTTTGTGGACATGGACAACTTCCTGCATCAGGGGACGATGGCCCCTACCCGCGCGCTCAATGCGCTTCGTTGGCTGTGCAAGCATTCTGGAGCTCCTTGGGAAGTGGCCCGGCTTCGTATCTCTCCGGAGCCGAAGAAGAAGGCCACTTCTACGAAGAGCCAAGCCCTTGTTGTGGAGCCTGGCATGCTGCAGCTGTTGGAGGAACGCATTGAGAGCATGTGCCGTGGGGGGGGGCCCGCGTTGGACATGTCTTCTCGGCTCTTGGCTGGTGGCTACGGGTTGCTTGCGATACCAGCATCTTCGCCGCTCAACCGTTCGTCGCATCAGCCCACTCGTGTTCCACGGCCACTGTCGCAAAGGCAAGCAGCGTCATGCTCGTGGCGGCTTTGATTGGTGTGCTCCAGCCGAGTTTGCCTCCACCTTCAACTGGACTGTGGAGTGGCTCAAAGCCTGGAAGGCTCTCTCTCCGGTGGCCCAGAAGAGTGCAGGGATCTGCTTTGACGGGCGTGGGACGCCTTGGAACATCGCTGAGGTTCAGCACCTATGCCAGTCGATCTTTGCCGAGTTCCTGGACAATACAGAGCAGTTGACCACCTACTCTTGGCGACGAATGCTTCCCACAGTGGGCCATATTCTGAATTTGTCGTCGTCTGATCTTTGCTCCCTCGGCGATTGGCAGGACAAATCCAAAGAGCCGGCTGAAGCAGGGATGGCATTGCACTATTCGTCAGCTCGGTATGCCCAGTCCCTTCGCAACAAGATCCTGGCCACTTCAGTGGCCCACAGCTGTGAGGGTCACAGCTTTTGGGAGGAGGTGCTTCCTGCCGATTTGGATGGTTTCCGCGAAGTGGCCAAAGACGCGCTTGCCATGGCCATCGCGAAGGACAAGGAGACGAGGTATGCGGCTCAGCCAACCAAGGAGTCGCTGAAGACGCACCTCCAATTCTCCAGGGCCCGAGTCGCTAAGGCAGCGGCCAACAAAATCCGAGGAAGCACCTCGCGCCAGACAGTATCCATGCCGGATGCCATCCGAGGCCGCGTGCTGACGGCTTTCTTGAAGAATGGGCGTCGCCTTTGCGGGGCTTTCCAGATGCCCGAGGGGTGCGCAGAAGGAGAGGAGGTTTGCGGGAACGCTCACCTCTGCGCTGTTCTTTTGGCCCGGGGGCGGGCTTGTGGCGGGAGCCACGGTGCATTTATTTGCACCGAAAAGAAGTACTTGGCGGCCGAGACGCCAGTTCCAGTTCGTGCGGCGGCGGCGTCAGCTTCTTCTACTACGTCCTCAAAGGCCAAACCCTCCTCTCGAGCCAAACGCCGGCGAGCGGAATCGCCCCAGCCAAGTGCTCGGCCTGATGCAGCAGAGGCCCTCTCTCCAAGGCCCAAGACGCCTCCGAAGGCACCTCCATCCAAGGCGGTTCCGCCCAAGTTGATTGCAACGTCGGCCAAGAAGACGCCGCGAGGTCCGCGGGATCCCTCGCCTCCACCGCTGGCCAGAACGCCTCCTTGGCGACAGTCTTCAGACCCAGCACCGAGCACCCTGCCTATTCCAGCAGTGTCGCCAGGACCTCAGCAATCTCACTGGGACCGGTTGGCCACCTCAGAAGGGCGTGACACTCTCGCCCCAACCCTGATCATGACGACTCGGTCAGGTGGCCAGCTGTGGCTCTCCGGTATTCCGATCGCTGAGACAGTGCAACATTTCCCGAAGGCTCACCTCCAGATCGCTTGTCTACCACAATACCCCGAGGGTCGGGGGGGCGTGTCGTTGCCGGAGGCATGCGTCATGAAGGTGCAGATGGGCAGCAAGCGCATGGATCAGGAGTTCAAAGCGGCATGGCCTCTCATCCACCAGAGCCTTCATTGTGGTGATTCAGTGCTTGTGCATTGTATGGCGGGCAAGCATCGGGCTCCTGCCTGCACAGCCCTCATCTATGCGCTCATGATGGGCACCTCCGTGGATGAAGCAGCCGAGAAGATCACCAAGATGCGGCCTTGTGTGGAGTTCCACAAGTTCTGCAGGGATCGCACGGCGGCACAGTGGCTTTATACGACGAGGCGCACTCTGTCGTTGCCACCCGTACACCCAAAGCCTGCTGGATATCTTGCTTCTGAACGTTCCAACATCCACCTGTGCACGGAGGGCCGCATCGCTCTGTGCCACTTCAAGCAAGGCGAAGCTCGAGTTCAGCAACGGCTCAAAGACGCCCACTTCTGCAGCAGCTTCGTGGAAGCAAGTACGTTTGCCCGTCCGGTGTGCGGACCTTGCTGGAGCAAAGCCCCAGCTTCCTGGCAAGCGCGACACTGAGCTGCTGAGCAGCCGTCCAGCCTAGTGATCGCCGGACGGTTGCGCCCCATAAGAGCAGGCGGCCTCCGTAGATGCCCCTTTTTGTAGACTACGTCACGGGTAGACTACCGAGGCGACCGGAGAGCGCGCCACCAGCGGAAAGAAACCTGAGTGTCAGTGACTCTTCTGCTGTGCAGTTTGTCATTTGGGGGGTCATCCCCAAGTCAGCAGGAGTGCTGTGTGGCCCGGAGGTTCCAGGCCTTTGACACTAGAGCGTAACGGCGACGCAGCGTCCATGTTTTGAGCCTCATTTTCGTTCATGTGCACCTAGGATCTCCGCCTCGCCAGCTCCTTTTGGCCGTCAGAGGCGAGGTGGGTCCTCGTGGTACCACTTTGTGAGGTGGGTCCTCACTTTCCGTAGGGAGGGTCCCTGTGTCCCCACATGGCGTCTAGCTTGCAACTCGTGCCGAGTGACGGTGCGGATGCTGCGGCTACTTTCCGCCAGTTGGGGATTAACTTCAGCATAGCTGAAGCCGTGACCGATGCCTTGGTCAAAGCCCGGCTCCAGAACCTGGAGGAGTTTCGCTTCTTTTTCGAGAGTGAGGACAAGGTCCAACCCTGGTTGGCCA